AAGAGAAGAGAAGAGAAGAGAAGAGAAGAGAAGAGAAGAGAAGAGAATGCAGAAGAGAAGGGAAGGGAACGGAACAGTTGAGTTGGAAGGGACCTTGGAGGTCTTCTAGTCCAGACAAATGGTTGTCCAATCTCTTCTTAAAAACTTCTAGAGCATTGACAACTTCTGGAAGAAAGCTGTTCCACTGATTAATTGTTCTGACTGTCAGAAAAAGTTGTTGAGAACACAACTGAGGTGAGAAATAGGTTTCTAGAACCATCCTCTTCACCGTGTTCCTTACATCTCTCTAAATAGTTCCACGCACAGATATCCGCCTTCTATCTTGATGCTGCCAGATCTTTCTGTTCCTCCCGGCCACGGCAGACCGCAGCTTCACACGTTCCCCCCCAAAGCAAAATACCATATTTGGCCAATCTCTGCCCCAGCTCAGCAAGAACCAGACAAGAGGATCCTGCAAGGAGAGAAAATGTTTAACCCTTCATGTATAAATAATGTGACAAATTACCCAAGGAACATTTAAACACCGAGCTGTTGGAAAATGAAAACAGGACAGACCAGAGGATGAGATCCAGCTATTAAGAGCAAGGCAGGACTAATAAATATCTAATAAATGATTCATTTCGAGCCATAAAAGATGTAGACAGCTGAGACTGCAGAGTTAAATGTTTATTGGAATTATATTACTGAAAGTAAACAATACTTTAATTTCACCCTTTTGCTCTGATGATGTGTTTCTATATTACATTTACATGACATGGTAAATTTGATTCCTATAACCTTGGATGGGAAGTTTTTCAGCTTTGGGTGTTATGCAAATCCAGCTGTTGTCGACTTTGTGTTGAATGTGGTCCGTGAGCCTTAGGAAGTGGGTTAATGTATTAACCAGGTTGATCACAAGGCATAAAAGCAGCTATCCTCCTCACCTTCTTTCCCATTCATTCAGCCCAGGTTTTTTCCTCCCCGGCAGCCAAAAATGATTAGCAAAGCCTTTGCAACCATTTGTAAAGCAGGTTTTACTACAAGTTAGCTGCAGGAAAAATAGAATAGAATAGAATTCTTCATTGGCCAAGTGTGATTGGACGCACAAGGAATTTGTCTTGGTGCAAATGCTCTCCAGTGTACATAAAAGAAAAAATACATTCATCAAGAGTCAAGAATCATCAGATATAACACTTAAGTCATAGGGTACAATAAGCAATCAAATCATACTAAGAAACAATCAATATAAATTGTAAGGATACAAGTGATGAAGTTATAGTCATACAGTCACAAGTGGGAGGGGATGGGTGATAAGGAGTGATGAGAAGATGAATAGTAATAATAGTGCAGACTTTGTAAATAGTTGGACAGTGTTGAGGGAATTGTTTGTTTAGCAGAGTGATGGCGTTCGGGGGAAAAACTGTCCTTGTGTCTAGTTGTTCTGGTGTGCAGTGTTCTATAGCATCATTTTGAGGGAAGGAGTTGAAATAGTTTATGTCTGGAATGTGAGGGGTCTGTAAATATTTTCACAGCCCTCTTTTTGACTCGTGCAGTATACAGGTCCTCGACTGAAGGCAGGTTGGTAGTAATTGTTTTTTCTGCAGTCCTAATTATCCTCTGAAGTCTGTGTCTGTCTTATTGCATTGCAGAGCCAAACCAGACAGTTATAGTGGTGGGGATGACAGACTCAATAATTCATCCGTAGAACTGGATCAGCAGCTCCTTGGGCATTTGAGTTTTCTGAGTTGGCGCAGAAAGAACATTCTTTGTTGTGCTTTTTTGATGATGTTTTTGATGTTAAGTGTCCGTTTTAGGTCTTGATAGAACCTAGAAATTTGAAGGTCTCTACTGTTGATACTGAGTTGTCTAGTATTGTAAGAGGTGGTAGTGTGGGAGGGTTTCTTCTAAAGTCTACCACCATTCCTATGGTTTTGAGTGTGTTCAGTTCCAGATTGTTCTGGTTACACCACGAGGCAAGTTGTTTAACCTCCTGTCTGTAGGCGAATTCATCATTGTCTCGAATGAGATCAATCACTGTTGTATCATCTGCAAACTTCAGTATTTTAACAGATGGATCGTTTGAGATGCAGTCAAAAATGCCCCGAATCCATATTAGGCAATTTGTGACAGCCCATCGGAGGTTCAAAAATTCTGGCATGATTTTTCTTTAAAAGTGCGCCCGTATGCATCTTTTTTCGACTTTTTAACAAGTGTTGTAAATCACTTGAGATTTGTTTTTAAAAAGAGTTAAGATCACTTCTTTTACTATAAAATATAGACAAGTGCAACTTTAAAAATGATTGATTGGTTAATTAAGAGGATTTACAGAACATCCTCAACTCAAAACCACAACTGAATAGCCTGAAATTCCCATTGCTAGAGCAAGACAATTGTTAAGTGAATGCTGCCCCATTTTGCGACCTTTCTTGCCACCGTTGTTAAGTGAATCACTGCAGCTGATAAGTTGGTAACATGGTTGTTAAGTGAAACTGGCTTCCAACTCTGACTTTATTTGTCAGAAGATCACAAAAAGGGATGACATGCCATTGGTACACTGTGACCGTCGTAAATATGAGTCAGTTGCCAAGCATTTGAATTTTGATCACACGACTGTGGGTGGATGGATGGCTGAGTCACCGGTCAGGATCAAACTGCTGTCAGTCAGCAGAATTACCCTGTAATTACCCTACAATAGTTGTGGGTGTGAAAAACGGTCATAAGTCACTTTTTTCAGTGCCGTTGCAACTTCATTCTAAAAGAATGGTTGTTAAGTCGAGGACTACCTGTACTGGAAGAACTGGGAACCTAGTTAAATGATGGCTTCCTACAAATCTCTTGGAAGCCATCATTTAACTAGGTTCCCCATTGTGCTATCTGTGTTCCATGCTTTGGTTGTGCATAGCAGTTGCAATAATAATAGCGCTCAGTCTTATATACCGCTTCACGGGGCTTTACAGCCCTCTCTAAGCGGTATATAGAGTCAGCCTATTTCCCCCCAACAATCTGGGTCCTCATTTTACCCACCTTGGAAGGATGGAAGGCTGAGTCAACCTTGAACCGGTCAGGATGGAACTCTGGGCAGTGGGCAGAATTAGCCTGCAATACTGCATTTATACCACTGCACCACCACATGGCTCCTAGATAACAGAAAGGCTACCGTTTAATACTATCCTGGCCTATAAACAGAGAGAGATGAGGCTGGAATCACCCATGGCTCCTCGGATGCTCCTAGCCCTTTAAAAAATAATTCTCCTCTATGAAATTCCAATTTATAGGGTGAAATTAGAAATTAAATGATGATGGGAAACTCCCTTTGTCTTGGTATATTTTTCTACTTGCTGTCCAATATTAGCTACTTGCACTTCAGGGGCAAGTAACTTGCTACCAGCTCCAGTCATCTAATACTTTTGAATTCAATAGCACTTAGACTTATATACCACTTCATGGTGCTTTACAGCTCTCTCTAAGGGGTTTACACAGTCAGTATTTTGTGGCCCCCAACAATCTGGGCCCTCATTTTACCCACCTCAGAAGGATGGAAGGCTGAGTCAACTTTGAGCCGGTCAGGATCAAACTGCTGGCAGTGGGCAGAGTCAGCCTGCAATACTGCATTCTAACCATGGCACCACCACGGCGCACAGTGCAACGGGAATCTTTCATCCTGGAGTAGTTGGGATATTTGCCAAAATAAGGGTAGAGACTGGAAGCTTTGGGTCCTAACCTCCTTGGGTTTTTTTCCTCGCCAAAAAAAAAGTTATCCATGATCTCAGGGTATCTTACCAAGATTACACTATTGGCTGAGGCTTCATTTAACTTCTTTATAAAGACATAAAAGTAAATTTTACAATACCAGTTGTAGATTTCTCCATCATGGAGCAAACTCAAACAGAAGCAGACATGTTACAGGTTCAGAGCAGAACAACAACTCAGGAGCTCAGAAGCAGACATCAGTTTTACTTTAGTTCAGCAGGCAAGCAAGCAAGTTACACAGTCGAGGAGATAAACAGTTTCATTTCAATAGACAGACTCAGAGCTTAACATAACTTCACTGCTGCAGAGCTAAATATAGAAATGGCCTAGGCTATTTCTAGTTTCAGTTTCCAAACAGTCCTCATTGGCTGACTTAGTTGCTATGCCTATGCATTGGCTGACCTTGTTACCGTGCTCTATTCAAGTTCATGAGTATACTCTGACAGCAGTGTAAATGTCAGCCCCAAAGGCCATCTTTTTCTGTGGATCTTCAGGGCTGCCATATTTAGCGCCTAGACTTCCTGTGGGAAACTGGGAGGGGGTTTGCATGAAGTGTGTAGAGAGTGGCACAACTTTTTACATAGTCCTCTACATCTGCTTTCATCTTTGGCCATCAGAATTGCCTTTGAGTCAGGTGGAGGGTTTTCAGGAATCTGAAGTGACCAGGCCAGTCATGAATCATGGGTACATTGGAAAAATTGCAGCCTCGAGTTTTTGGAACCCTGACATTTTTTTAAAAAAACAAAAATCTCTTGTGAACCTGTATCTTTGCTTATTTGTCTCATAGGTCTCATTGGCGGCGTTGACCATGGAGCCTTCCAACAACTCTACAGTGTCCTCCAACAACAGCAATCTGTTTAACAAGTTTGTCCACCTGGACGGAGAGCTATCGGAGAGGTTTCATACCTTGTGGGTTGTCCTGGTAGTGATCAACACCATCATCTTCCTCATGGGCGTGGTGTTGAACTCCGTAGCACTTTACATCTTCTGCTTCCGCATCAAAACGAAGACCACCTCGGTCATCTACACCATCAACCTTATCATCACCGATCTGCTGGTGGGCTTCTCTTTACCTGTCCGGATCATTGTCCATTACGGCGCCAAGGACTGCTACACCTGTGCCCTTGTCCACATTTTCACCTATTTTGTCAACATGTATTGTAGTATCCTCTTCCTGACCTGTATCTGCATTGACCGGTATTTGGCTATTGTCCAGGTGGAGGCTTCGCGCAAGTGGAGGAACCCCAACTATGCCAAAAGTATCTGTGTTTTCATCTGGACTTTTGCCACTGTCCTCACCTTCTCCATCCTCACCCTGGCCATGAAGTTCTCCTACTGCTGCATCGCGCAGATCTTGCCCCTAATGGTCTGCGAGTACTTCTTCCCCTTGATCGTCCTCACCTTCTTCACCACCAGGATCATGTGTGCGCTTTCCAAGCCCACTCTCATGCACCAGAGCCGGGAGAGACGGATGCGAGCCGTGCAACTCCTCATCACTGTCCTCATCATCTTCATGATCTGCTTCACCCCTTTCCACGTGCGCCAGTTGGCCATCGCCATCAACCCGGCCATGTCCTACGACCTCAGCTTGGTGGTTTACCACGTCACGGTCACCTTGAGCAGCCTCAACAGTTGCATGGATCCCATTGTCTACTGCTTCGTCACCAACAACTTCCAGTCCACCATGAAAAACATCTTCAGGAAGTCAGAGCTGGAGCAAGCCAGCGGGGAGGTCAACAGCGCCCACAAAGGGTCCGGATCGAATGCACTCATGGCATTTGCCAATGCGATCGGGAACCCCATGGGCCTGTCTTTGCCCAACAACTCCACAAACTCCTAGAGCGGCCTACGAGGACAAAGAGGATGTCTGCTATTCCTTTTGGCTAAAACATGTTCCCCCCCACTCCAAACATTGTAGCTGGGTTCCAGAATTTTTCAAGGTCTCCAATGACACACTCAAATTTATTTATGGCAGCTGGTTTTGTCATCTGGGAAATTACTTGGATTGCATTTTGGCATTCCAAACTGCTAAGAGTTTCCCCAATTCAGGAATTTACGGAGAAAGGAATGTGCACAGCGCTGTATTTTGCTAGCATAGAAAGCATAGAATAACAGGGTCGGAAGGGACCTTGGAGGTCTTCTAGTCCAACCCCTGCTCAAGCAGGAGACCCTGTACCATTTCAGACAAATGGCTGCCCAGTCTCTTCTTAAAGACCTCTAGTGATGGAGCATCCACAACTTCTGAAGGCAAGCCATTCCACTGGTTGATAGTTCCCACCGTTACGAAATTTCTTCTTGGTTCTAGGTTGCTTCTCTCCTTGTTTAGTTTCCATCCACTGTTTCTTCTCTTGCCTTTTGGTGCTTTGGAAAATAGTTTTAGGGAAGCCCCTCAAATATTGGAACATTTGCTATGATGAAACCTTGTTTTCACTAGACTAGGCATACCCGATTCCCACAATCGTTCTTGATATGGTCTCCAGTCCCCTAATCATCTTTGTTGCTTTTCTCTGGACTCTTTGCAGAGTCTCAACATATATATTTTTATAATGTGGTGACCAAAAGCCGATGCAATATTCCACGTGTGGCCTTACTAAGGCTTTGTAAAAGCAGGACTAATACTTCACGTGACCTTCAATCTATCTGCAGGATCGGGACAGGGAGAAAATGGATTTTATCATGCCTGTTCTTACACTTTGTACAAAAAGAGACTTAAAACCAGGCTTACCTTTTGAAATGAGTAAAATTCAGGATCATCGTCACTCCGTCAAATGGAGTTGGTTGTTTGAAAAGACTTGACTCCTAACCCCGCCGAATGCCAAAACCATGACAGTAATTTAAAAAAAAAAAATCTACAGTTGTATACACTGTACTTTGTGCTGTGAGAGAAATTTGTTTCTCAAGAATGTTTTTTAATTCCTGCAAAAAGGACACCCGGGATGGCCGAGTGAAATTAAACGCTGTATGGAGTTGAAAGTAAAATCCCTGCGGGCTCTTTCAATGCTTAAAAAAAAAAACAATACCAACAAAGACAGGGTAATTTTCAATAAATCTGGGTTGTTGTTTTTTCACTTTCCTTCACTCTACAGGCCTTAGTTGCAGCTACTGCTCTGATTTCACCTAATGAGAGGGAGTTTAATCCGGGCTATTCTTTCAAATCCAGGTTGGAAGTTATTGTTACAAGAATAGGAATAGGAATAGGAATGGAATGGAATAGGAATAGGAATAGGAATAGGAATAGAATAGAATAGAATAGAATAGAATAGAATAGAATAGAATAGAATAGAATAGGGAAAGGAAAGGAAAGGAAAGGAAAGGAAAGGAAAGGAAAGGAAAGG